TAGTAATGACTGTAATTTGTAGTCATATTCGGTGCCAACTATATACATTGATATAAAATTATACATATAATTATATTATGAGTTATTACTAATATTGTAATAATGACAATTACGGTAACATAATTATAGTCACAAATACCAAAAACTTTTCTCAGTGCATAATATTATAAAATATTTATTGATATTATTTATTGATTTATTCTTATTGAGCCATATTATTAATTTATTTTTTTATTATAATTATGTTCATGTCATATTCCTATAACAATTCAATAGCTTAAACAATTCCAAAATTTATTTTGTATATGTCGAGGACGCGTTGCACGAAATAGCCTCGTAGTTTTCCTAGCAGTCATCGTTTTTCCCGAGCATTCTTTATTCAGTTTCTCGGACACTGTAAATGGAAAGCCCGCAACTTCGCGTATTCGCGCCATTGGACTTTGCGCCACGCTTACAATATATTACAAAACTGTCCCATTGTGCTCCCGGTATGTGCACTGCACTCTCACGCGCATTTCAACCCCGCCGTTTTCCGGTTCTTCCGGTACACCTGAGGTATGCACTTTCCAAGAAACTACCACATGGCCCACTTTAGCGAGACAACATTTCCGCTACGGCCAACTGCTGGTCGCTCTTCCTCGCTTTGATACATAAATGACGCAAAGAACGCCAGCAACGAACGACATTGCATCGAGAGGTAAATCGCGGACTGCTATAAGTGAGAAAAGCGAGGAAAGAATCTCATGTCTCGGACGATGCTCATCGTGGATGCATCTCGAGTGTTACGTTCATTTCGCCTTGCGAGAGGTGGTCTGCATGCGGAGTGGCCCCGACATGAACATGAATGCAACGCCCATCGTCCACGATGCATCGGGCCGGCCCGCCCGATGCATGCATGCATCCGCAGCGTGTAATGCCCGTATTTTACCGCGTGAAGTATCGCGAGGGATGCGTCGGACGATTTACGAGAGTAGGGTGATTTAGAGGCGAGACTACGCGAAAGGACCGGGAACACGACGGTATTCAAGATATTCAAGCGGAGTGAGTAGATGTTCAAATCGCGATTATTATCCGGTAAGCGAGGAAAGAATAAAGAGATTTTCGTTTCTCTCCTAGCGTTATATCCATAGTCTTCAGTATTATTAAATATTTAAAAAAAACAGATAAGACTTAACATATACAGCATTGTATACAGCAAAAGTATTAGGCACTTACAATTTTCTCGTATTTTACGAAAAGTTAAGTATCTCAGCGAAAAGAAATCTCGAAGAGGTTTTAAAGCGTAAAGATATAGGGTTTTAAATCTGCGTTTGAATCTTGTCTACGATATTTTGTTCCTAAGTTACATAAAATCGAAAAATGATATCTTTGCAATATTTTTGTCTTACTTTAAAGCGCTACAGTTCAATAAAATTTAGTTTACTTATAAGAGTATCTTAAAGTAGGCTTCCTAAGCTTTAAAATGCTTTTTGAAAAAAATTTGTACAATAATTTTTCGCAAAGATATCGTATTCTTTATTATGTGAAATTTTATTGTGCAAAAACTTACTTCTTCTAAAATGTTTTTCAATTTCAAAATTAAAAAATATATGGAAAAAAGAACAAAAGGGAAAAAATATTTGTTATAATGTGCTTGATTTGTATAAATTTTTTCAAATTTAAAAAAAAATTTTATTCGATCATCAATTTTAAAAAAGTTTGTACATATCTATATCTTTACGCTTTAAAATGCATGATCGGAAACCTCTCCGAGATTTCTTTTCGCCGAGATATTTAACTTTTCGTAAAATATGAAAAAATTGTAAGTGCCTAATATTTTTGCACAAGGCTGTATTGTCGATTAAAAGTGTCAATCGAAATGAAAGAATAAACAAAAGTGATATCGCGAATGAATCTCGTGTGATAATATCGAAAACCAATATTGTTATTTTTTAGAATAATCAGGCATGGATTTCTTTTGAGAGAAATAAGAAATCCTTTGGGAATTTATATGTAGATATCTTTCTGTTTTACAAGAAGCGCGCGCACGTTTGTTGCGCATAAAGAAATTTAGGTCGACCGTATTTCTTGAATTAAGACCCTCCGACGCAGTAAACCACAAAGCGTCGATGCAGAAATTGCAGCTTTAAACTGTGTAGATGTGAATTCTACAATTTATAATCCTTGTAAATGCAAATATCTATCTGCTAAGAATCGAGTCGGTAATTGATGGTGTTAAAACGACTTAAGTAAACGACGCGATCACCATTTCCTTATGTTGCGCGTTAAATATCTTTGTCTGATAATATGTAAGATAATAAAATATATTTAAAAATTTAAACTACATAGGAATGCTCAACACAGTGCTCAACACAAGGTTGTTGTTCTCCTTATTATACCGTAATAAAATAAATGTCTGAAAGAGCCGCGCTCGAGAATATCATTAAGTAACTTCGAGAGGATCTTAAGCTCTTAATAATTTGAATGGGTTTTAGATAGAAGTTGCTCTCTTGAATTTGGATTTCGAGATGCGATTATATCAAGTACAGACTTATATCATTCTCTCGATGATATAAGTCGACGGACTTATGATAATATTATAATTACGTGGAAGATTAAATATTTCACTGTTAAATATCAAAGGAGCAAACTCAATTCTTTGAGTTAAATAATATTTTACATATTATTTTTCTATGATGTAAATTAATCCATTTCTGTACAGAATTACTTACTTTCAAAGTAAACAATGTCCACATTACCATGTTAAGCGCGAGAATAAACTTCTAGCAACGCTATACGATAAAGAGCGTTACGTCATCCACTACCGAAACCTGAAGCAATGTACTCATCACGATCTTCGCATAACAAAAATTCATCGAGTATTATAATTCGCTCAATCCGTCTGGCTCCGCGATTACATTGAACTCAATACACAGTTTAGAACGCGCGCGAAAAATGATTTTGAGAAAAATTTATATAAATTAATGAACAATGCGGTATTCGGTAAAACTATGGAAAACGTTCGAAATCATCGATGTAAAATTAGTAACAAAATGGGATGAACGGTACGGTGCGGAGGCAATGATCGTAAAACCGAATTTCCACAGTCGTAGCGTCTTTAGCGGAAAATCTAATCACCGTCGAACCGTGCAAACTCGAAATGAAGTTCAACAAGCCGATTTATGTGGGTATACTGGACATATCGAAAGTCTGCTTGATGATTGAATTTTATCACGAGTACATGATGTATCAAGACAAATGTAAGATTATATACACTGAGTCTCGTATACCACATAGGATATGACGATGTGTACGAGACTATGAAACGCGATATCGCTAGATTCGACACGAGCGATTATCCGGCGGACAACGCGTACGGTATGCCTCTCGCGAATAAGAAAGTACCCGGCCTGATGAAGGATGAGAACAGTGCGATAATGACAGAATTCGTTGGACTCAGAGCGAAGATGTACGCGGTGAGGTGTTGATGAAAAAAATGACACTAAAAAAGCAAAAGGTGTAAAGAGTAACGTCGTAGCGCGAACAATAGCATTCGACGATTACACCCGGTGTTTGAACAAAGAGATTGAAATGATTCGTCGTCAATCGTGTATACGATCTAAACTGCACGAGGTATACATACACGATATCCCCGAATCGAAAATCGCTCTGAATCCATAGGACGACAAACGATACGTCGTACCGGATTCGACGGAGACGTTATCGTGAGGGAATTGGCGGATACCTTTGTAATATATGTATCAAATGTTTTATATGTAGTATATATTGCTACTATGTATTACCATCATTGTAATTTACATTTCATGTACTATACGTTTTTTTTTTATATTTATATACGTATTACTATTATTTTTTTATGTGTATTACTATTATTTTAATTTACACTGCATATATGTTTTTACATTTTTTTATATTTTCATATAGTACGTATTTTTTAAATATTGTATCTTTGTACATTTATATATACGTATTCTATCTCTATACATGTTGTTAAAAAAAATTATGTATTTTGTATACTTCAAACGAAGATGAAAGAGATAATAAAAATATTTTATACGTTTATATATTTATATTGATATATTTATTATATGTATAAAAAAAAAATATGAATTAAAATTTTTCAAATGACGTTTTTTTCTATCCACGAATTGTGCGATCCATCGAATCCCAGCCACTTGACGTACACCTTGTCTCCCTTCCTGCGCAGTACTTTCTCCACGAGATACACGTCCGAATGAGTAGCGCGATGCAACTCGTGCTCGTAGAACGCTCCAACGATGGATTTTCCGCGATAGTCCTCGAGTAGATAGATTACAGGATTGATACGCTGCACTTTAACGATCGTAAACACCTCGGTAGTTTAATTTGGCGTGTAACTCTTCTCAAAAATTGTCTTGCCCACGCGTACCGAATCGTTCACTTTGAATTTTGCCGGACCCGCGATCTTTATTGCGCTGTACATCGTATCCAAGAGTCTTTCGGCGATCGCGGAAGTTACGTCAGCGGGTCGCATGCTGATAATGGCTACGTTTACACCGTGCGCTTAATCCGCGACCTATACGATAGGTGTCTTTGTTTAATATACAGGATAAATAAGGACGTCTATTGTATAAACCGCGGCCTAAATGCACGGTGTAAACGTAGCCAGTGCGATGCTTCAGCGCGCTGTAATTTGACACGACACGGCAGCTCGTGTCGGCCCATTTGTAATTGCCGTTGAGCGTAAACATCTTCCACATATCATTCTTGATCGTGCGATTGAACTGTTCGACCACTGACGCTTTCAACGTCGAATACGTGGAATAGTGATTAATGTTGTGAGAACGATGAGTAATGGAACGAGCTATAGAAAGTTAATTTTTTTCAAAAGTTTGGGAACCAACTTCACACGGGTGTATAATTTGACGTTCTATAAATTTAACAGTGTAACAGATTCAGAAAACGAAACGACGGTATTTCGAGGAGCATATGTCGATGGCTTCACTATTCTGGGCAATCGATTGGCTTCGTTGCGTTCTCAAACAACATTGGTAACGTACTAAACGTAATATTACTATCGAAATAGCGCCGCCGCGCGAGTTCGCGCTCGAGACTTCGCAAATATCACGAATCCAGTTCTAGTCCGCGAGCTCATTCTAACGTCGTATATTAAATTCTGGTTGTGTGATAGGCATAGTTCGCGAAGGTGGAGTACGCCGCACATACCGCGAGCTCATTACTGTCGTGCCATGCGTCATGACTGAAAACCACCGTTCTATTTTGTCGTCGTCGTCGCCGCCGCCGTCGCGGCCGTCGGAATAACGATGTCACAACAGGGTCGGTAAACAGCAAGCACGGTTTTCCCAACTTTCAAGTAATTAAGTGCGTCGAAACTTGATTAAGGCTCATAATTGCGTTTTATAAGGAGATCCTGGGACGGCTTTTTGAAAGTATGTTCTCGGTGCGGTTTCTCGACGAGAGCGCGGTCGGATACGTGACCAGATTGACAAGAGCGATGAGCTTAATTATCAATAGAGCTTAATATTTCATATTCGAACAGCTATACATTTGACCCCTACATTAGACTACACAAAAAGAACGATTTTGCTGAAGTATTTAAAAATCTATCCCTCTCGAAGTTCGAATTGCGTTTCGGTACACTTATAAAGTTGTATATGTATATGAATGTACGTATAAAAATACATATATATTTTCTTACTTATGCATTTTCATTACATTTTCGTTATTTTAACCCTTTGAAGCATACATTTTTCTTTACTTAGAATTCAATTGAAATTTGTTACTCGGGGGTTTTTGGGGTCGTTGATTACGAATCTGATAACAGCTTTTTAAAATTCAAAATGGCGGATCCAAGATGGCGGACAAAAAAAGCGAAAAACTGCTTGATTTCAATGAAACTTGGTAGGTACTCGGGGGTTTTCGCTGATTACGAATCTGGTCTCAGATTTTCAAAATTCTAAAAACAACTTTGTCAAAATAATTACATAGAAATTTCAAGTATAATGCTGCAAAAAGTTTTGACATTCTAGCAGCCAATTTGAGCGGCCTATAAAATAGAATAGAATTTATTGCACTACAACATATACAGCCAAGAAGGGGACTTTTGGTTTGCATATAAAACTTAAATTTGAGCGTCCTGTATAATTATTTTGATAGTCCCACAAAATTATTTTCAGATTTGTATCTAGCTAAATTTTTAGATGCTTCAGCAAAACCGTCCTTTGCGTGTACGAAAAGATTTAAATTTAAATATCTAAAGTGTTAAATAAAAGTTTGACGTGAGAGAGAGAGAGAGAGAGAGAGAGAGAGAGAGAGACTGTTAGTTTTCATAAATGTATAATATAACTCAAGCCAGACTTTTAAAATGTAATATTTTGTAGCAATTATTTAAAATCAGAATGTGTAACACAATCTATTCGTGCTTCCTTTTATGTATCACGAAAAAGCGACGCATGCTTCGATTTTCTTTACGCACGAGAAAGCTTAAGCTTGTTAGCTGCCAGTTGCGAAATACTTAATCCTGTACAGTGTATTATCGCGTAACACGTATTCGTGCACATAACGGAGAGAACCCGGTTGTGTTCACGTTATCACCTCGGTGTGATAGAGTCTACGTCGTTCTATATTCGTTCCATTTTATTATCTTTCTCTTTTGTCCTCGTTACTATGACGATACGATGTTCGGAAAAGATATTGAAGTCATTCCCTGCGCAAATGACACTTGCTTGTCGATACACTCGCCGCTATCAATATCGATGTTGCTGATATAAAAATAATGGACGATAAAAATGAACAATGAGAAAAAAAAGATGTTACCGCCAAGTCGCTCGCGATTGCGCCATTTTCGTGATGACATCGTCAGCGTCGGAAGATCCGCTTAGGCGTAATTCGAATTCGCAGATAACGCCAATCAGTCTACGGCCGACAACGCCAATGAGAATTCATCGGCATCGATTTCCGAGCAATTCGCGTCGAGGTATCATCGGACGGCAGATTGGAAGTTGATGATAGAGGGTCGGAAGAGACGAACGATTCGATAAATCGGCCTAGCTTCGGCGACAATTAGCTAATGCACAAAATTGCTTCAGCAACACTGTTACGTGAACGTAACGTTTGCAAGCGGATACTTTATAACGCGGGAACTTATACGTGATGTTTTGACTTGTGTCACATTCAATAAAATTTTGTTTCGCAATAATTTATTGACAATAAATTATTTTGGAGTAAAATAATTTTATTGAATGTGACAGAAGACACTGCACAATAATTTATTGTTCGATAAATTATTATGGAAAAACCTTTTATTATGGATAATCTTTTTTTTCGTGCTTCATTCTTTAAATAATCCGTAATTGGACATTACAAAATATCTTTTAAAATTTTATAATATATTAATATATTGATGTATTATTTTTTTTAGTAGAGGAAACACCACATTTTGAGTGCTTTCTACTAAAGAAAATAATACAACTCTCTATAAGCAATTCCAACTTTTTACACATGCTCGCATTTTTCACGACGAACGAACGGAATTGACTGAAGGTTTGATGATGTACTGCTGGAAGTGACGAGCAAATTGAACAAATTGGCAACCGATATCGATGCAACAATTAGCTAATGCATCGAGAGGCGCGCCAATGCCATTGCAGCAGCGCGATATACGAGTTTTACGAACCGATGGAAGTGAACTCGGGCCGCGAGAAAATTCGCTTTTCCGGATGCCCTCGGTCCAACCCCGCCAATAATTGCGGACTGTAAAGTGCGACCCAACATTTGCCACCCTTGTGGCTAACCTTCACCTTTTCTACACCAAACTCAGAGAAAGATCGTCATTTCTGTTTTCATGTTATTTGTGAGTCTTTTCTCTCTCTCTCTCTCTTTCTCTCTCTCTCTCTCTCTCTTCCTTTTTTTCTCCTTTTTCCTCGGATATTTGCGGCGAAAGACCGACAATCGTTATTTCGAAAGAAAGGAGTAGCGGTTATGAGGATGAAATCCCCGCGTTTTCTCGGAGATTTTTAATGGTTATCGTTTTTTAATGGACCTGCCCTGGTACGTATGGTCGGTAGAAAAGATTACGATGGAAGGAATGCATTGTTGCTTTAATAGCGAGAGAACGAGAATTATTTGGGTGGACTTAAACTATGATAAAAACAACAAAGAAAATACTTTGAATTGTATACTCAACTGATATTCTAACAAAATATAAATATCAGTCTTTCTAACCCCCCTTTCAATTTTTCTATTAAATATTTCAATAAATGTGATCGAGAGAAATGAAAAAATGATCGTACAATTAACTATCTTATGTCAGATGAATATTTTATTATTTAAAACTGATAAATATGTTTTAAAAGTAGCAAGTATGTACATTTTCAATATATGATGAGACCAGTATCATTTTCAGTCGGAAATGCACCTGGATCATCATTGTCATTTTATATTAATTTGCAGAAATTCTAAAATTGCGCAATTTATACGCATCGTTATTCCAGACAGGTGTTATTCCAGTTATTACGCAACATGTGACCGTTTATGCCGGCGCGAATTATTATTTAGAGGTCCGTCGGGTGACATTACATTGTACGTTCAATCACCGAACCGATCTCTTTAAAATGACGCATGTGGCAATACGGCGATATTTATTATCATTAGCCATGCAAGTGAACACGCTTGTTTACGCGCCGATGTACATGTTCGCGGTGCGATGGAGGTCACATCGTCGGTCGTAAAGGTTTAATCGATTCTCGACCGGATCGCGCACACCAAGCACACGCGACGTATATATACAAATCCCAATCTGCGATTTCATCCTTTTTACTATTCAAATAGCGTATTTCGCTCACCTATATTCCATCACACTGCACTGATTTCATATAATCTACTCTCTTTGAAATGGAATCTAAAGAGCGACAAAAAAAGAATGACAACTAACAATAAGCCAGTGTCGAAAAAGAGTGACTCAATTGTCAATTGTTAAAAGTGAGATTTCACTCTTTAGAGTTAGACTCCACTCCAAAGATTTTAGAGAGCAATCCGTATTAAAACGACAGAGCACATCAGTGTATAAAAGTTGAAATCATCCTTTCCGACAGCAAGAAATACACGGAAAGGACAGTTTTGTTAAAGTGTTTCAAATTTAACTAGACACAGAGATTTGAAAATAATTCTGTTGGACCATCAAAATAATTACATAGAGCGTTTAAACTGCTACTAGAATGTCAAAACTTTTTACAATATTGCACGCTTGAGATTCTTATTAATTATTTTAATGATTCGATGAATTTATTTTCAGATTTGTATTTAGCAAAAATTTAAATTTTTAGATACTCTTCAACAAAATTGTTCTTTCCGTGTAGCGTATAAAAAAATTCTTTACTCTCTTAAAAAGAATAAAATTTTTATTGCAGTTTCGGTGAACGACTTTTTAATAAACGATCCTTATCATCCGTGAATCGAATGGCAAACGATTTTTATCGTTCTCGATGTAACGGACAAACGTATGATTCGATTTCGGAATTAGACACGACTGCACTCTCGTCGAAATGCGATCGGTCTTGCCTGGCCATCGTAAATTTTTTATGGGCTTTCGATCGTACCATGTTCGCGATACTTATCGACCGTGGCCTGTGATTTCACCCCTCTCGTTATTCGTGCGGCGTACTTGACCTGCCGTTCCCATCACGTCACGCTAATCGACCGCACAGTTACGTAAAAATCTTCCCACGATTTTATACATTCCCGCTGATATGTTATTATTCGAAAATCAAACAATTTCCCGACGGACAGCACAACGTTCTGCAACAACGCTATTTTTTCTTCTTCTAGTTTCCAATTAGTCACCACCAAGCAATTACTTCTGGCTCTTAGTCATCATCGATCGAAGTTACTCATGCGATAATACATAAGATAAAATATTAACAGTTGTAAGCCCTCTCGCATATTCAATTTTGAGTTCCTTAATTAAAATTTTTCGCAATAAATTTATTTACAGTTTTTCAGCACATTAATATCTCTCTAATATGATATCGGATTGAAGATCAAATTATTAAAAATTGCTTGTTAATTTAAATTTAATTTGTGATATTATTACAGTAGTTTAATTGCGTTTATAAGTCCGGAAAACTAATTCGGAGCGCAGTTCGAATGACTACAAATATGGTATGTATGCATGTACATATATAATATATACAGTGTGTCCCGTAAAAACTCAAAATGATCTCAGGAATTTTCCCTTAAGCGTTCGGGTCTTTATGGGACACCTTGTATATATATATATATATATAATTCACATTGAATTATACATATATATATAAAATTCTCTCACATTGAATTATTTAAACATTAAAGATCCAACTTCGACCATTAGAGGCTTTAAAATTCTTACTTGTTTTGTGTATTGACATATACGGTCTTAATAAATCATTTATTATTCTTAATTAAAATCTTAAGAATCATAAAAAATAATGATTAAGAGCAACAAAACACGTTAAAGAAATGAGTTATTGTGAACGATAATATAAAATTTGAGAAATATAAGTCAGCGATATAAAATTTTTTAAAAGTTAATCTTTCGGCTTATATAAATTCCTTGCTCCTCAAAAATATAAGACAACCAAATCTCATCGCAGGATCAAAGCGTCACGATGCGGAATGAAACTTTGGGTGCAATTGCACCCTTCTCACCATTCGTTAGACTATCTGACTAACCGGTCGGTTGTTCTGTCACGTCACTCCGATTTCGCGTGATCGAACGCGTGCAATGAGCTGTACTTTCGTCACGCAACCAAAGTTTTTTTCGTACAATTTTGTTGTGCGCGTTGTAATCGATGACATACCCCCTACATTGTGTAGTGTGCAAAGAATGAACTGACACGGAGACCTTTCGCATATTGCGAAAGGTAGAAATGTACGGCAACGTGATTGACTGATTGAACGAGCGAAATAATTCATTATATACAGTGAAAAATCAATTTTGCTGAAGAATCTAAAAATTTGGCTAGATACAGATCTGAAAATAATTTTGTTGGACTATCAAAATAATTTTGCAGAAATTTTAAGCATAATGAGCAATGTTGCAAAATGTTTTGATATTCTAACAACTAATTTTGTCATCCTACCTAATTGTTTCGATGATCCAGCAAAATTATTTTTCAGATCTATATATATTTAGCTAAATTTTTAAATTCTTCAGCAAAATTGCTCTTTCAGTGTATACACAAAAATTAAGGTGTTATTGAGGCATATATAAGTCCGAGGAGAACTGCAGGAGTAATTTTCATTACGACGATTGTTCGACCATCTGTTGACCTTGTTGAATAAGAGACGTAATCTTACTCGAAAAATTGACTTCTTAATCTGAATATGATGGGAAACACATAATACAGGTGCGACTAATTTCACGAGGGGCACTACTATCTGCTAATCTAAACGTATATCGGAGGATGGAAAGAAGAAAGAATCTGAACACGTTTCACTTATGAGTAAGACATACGTATTTAAGAGTATTTGATATATGATGAATATTAATCAAGATGAAATTAGTCAATATTTATAACTCTGACTATAATCATTTTAATAAAGGCTGTAAAATTCCTCACAAAAATCTAATACTGGCTAATTTATTACTAAAAGACAGTAATTAATTACTTATTTGGACAATAGTGCTTTTGACACTATTGCTTAAAATAAGTAATTAATTATTGTCATTCATTAGTATTAAATTAGTCAGCAGTATTAGATTTCTACAAGAGATTCAAATAGCTATCCTCAAAAATCGACTCTATTAAAGCTAATTAATAGTGTCTTAAATATTATATTAACTATATAAACACATATTTTATACAGATGACACGTCCCATAAAGTTGGCCGTCTCATAAAGTTGTGGAACGTGCTCAGGAAGGGTGACGACGACGGGGGACATATAACTTACGATTCGCTCCGTGGAGGACCATCGTGGCCGCGTTCTACACAACTATAAAAGTGTCTTCGATGCCACCCACCGGTTAGGTACCTCTAGTGCGCGCGAG